TACCATGCCATAATCTGTGACAATCATTGAGATGTAATCTGAAGGAGTAGCGTCATACCTGAGACAGTACAACACAAAGTTAGAATACGTCACTTCCAGGTCCAATAACTAGTTATAGTATATCGTAGTCAAATCATTGATTTACATTAAATTTAGAAGTTGCAATTGTTCTTTAGCAGTCATATTATCTAGATAATTTATATCCTTCCTTTCGGGAACCTTTGAGATAGCCTCTGGATCACCTGCGCAAAATTTGAAAATGCTCAGACATTGTCCATTTTCCCTCTTCTGGAAGGAAATACGGGAGAAGATAACATGATAATATATACCTAATTCATTGAAACATATTGAATCAAGCTGTACTCTTTCATGAAATTTATACGCTTCGCAGCAGATTAAGACTGGAACACGGAATGCATTAGCAACCATGGCAACAGCTGCAGTTCCCACTCTTGAATATACAGTTCCGTTAGATAATACTGCAGCAGCCCCGAGAAAAACTCGCGTCACTTCATGCATCACATAAGACATAGCATTGATATGAGTGTATGTACAATTTAGGCCCCTCTCTATGAGCCTACGAAGCAATGCTCGCCCTTCTTGTTTTGGACGGGAATCCACCACCACAATACGGAATTCTTTTCCGAGTTCATGGGCATGTAATAGAAGCATCTCTACAACAGACGATGATCCATATGTAAGAAGAACATCTCCATCCCTTATTTTAGTAGCAGCATGTCTAACTATGACCTCATCCGCTATTATAATCTTTTCATTGATAAAGCGATCGATATCTGAGCAAAGCGTAGCTTTTACTTCAGATTCCGGAAGATTCAATGGTAATTTGGCAATGCGGTTTTTCAAAAACCTAATAGCATTTCCCATGCTAACAGATAGTGGCCTACACTCGTTGAAGAATGACACATAGCCACCAATTTTTGCAGTTAAATCTCTACCCAGAACCTTCTGTGGCGGAGTTGAGTAGTCTTTGATGGCCTGTTGAAATGCATGAAGCATAGCAATACAGCGAGCATTGCCTCCACATATATCTCCGGCCATATATTGTAAACCAACCTGATAAAGTATCAATATGTGACTAAATTAGACAAACAATAGTCAAAAAATTTATCATGGATAAGCATAAAGTAAAGACAATTAATTAATTATTTCATCTATAAAATAACAAAAATGTTGGCATATAAAGAAGCCATTCGTGCAAATCACCATGTTGTGGATGCATGAGGTCCATAAAAATAAAATTACAGTCAATAGTCATCAATATTGGATCAGAAAACATAACAGTCCTAATAAAAAAGGCAAAGCTATGAGTTCTTCTTTTGAATTGGGAAAAGTAAGAATCATGTAAAGGTTTTGCATTCTGGTGGACTTACTATTTGTATTCTTCATAGCATGGACAAATTATCCTATTTAATTCAAGTTCTTCTGTACTAAACAGATTCCATGCTTGTAGTATTCTCCAGTCAAGAGTAAATTAAAATTATCGCCACCCCCACCCCCACCCCCACAAAAAAAGAAAAATAAATAAAAAGCACCTTGTAAATGGCAGGATGAATAGGGTCAAGTTGGAAAAACTTTGACACGAGATCAGGAAGCTGAGTTCCCTGCTCGTATTGTGGCAAATGGCGAAATAATTCGACCCTATTTCTAGCTTCAGTTTGGTTGAAAACTGCTCGCTTTTTAGCCTTTTCTACCCTATTTTTATCATCAAACTGCATTCGTGGAGGGGGAGCATCTTTCTTCCTTTCTTTATCAAGTGTGCGATCACCTCCTCTTTTGTCAGTAGGTGCAGCCGAAGGCGTAGCATTGTTATCTTTCATAGCCAATGACTGCTTCACAGCTTTACCAGGAGCATTACCTGACTTATTCGCCTCACCTTTTATTAAATCAATGAACCATATATCAAAATATATAAATAAATAAATAAACATATGAACTAACTACTATATAAAAAGCTCTTGCAAAATTTTCTATAACATTAATAAACAAATAAAAGGAAACAGTGAGACCCATTGAAAAGTTACTCATGAAATTAGCTAATCCAGGTATTAGAAATTTTTAAGTGCACAAGACAAGGAATTATCAATATCTACAAATACTCCATCTATTGATGCACTAAATTGAACCCATTAAACGCTCTACATTTCTTAACTTCAAAAGAGTGCCTCCTCGCTGGCCAGATTTGTTTTTCTGAATAATCAACACTACAATATTGCTCCAAGTACATTTAAAATGATTGGAATGGAAATTGAACCTTTAGCAGCTCGTTGTGCCTCCTGTAGAGCTCGTCTTTCAGCCTTTGTTGTTTTTGCCTTCAGGGGTTTCGAATTTGATGGTGGTTGTCGATTCTGTACCTCCGTGGATGCCCCTCCGTTCTTTTCTGCAACAGCAGTGAAATGAGAAATCAATAATCCCAGTGACAGAAAGCAAATTGAAGCATGTTCACGACCATGTAGAATTTCATTGTTTTTTTTTTTTTTCCTTTTCTAATCCTTGATTCCAAGAATTCTTTGGGCCATCAATATCGAAGGAGTACAAAATTGGGTACTACGGCCAGATCATGCAAGCACGTCAGAATCAGAAAAGAATTGACAAATTCCTACCAAAAGTGGATTATTTAATGTTTTTTTAATGTTGTATATGCTAGTTTTATGCAAAAACAACAGAAAATAAGAATAATCCAATATTACACCTTCCAACCATTCTACAAGGTCCGCCATCTACTACAATTTTGAGGGGCACATAAACAGATTGAGCTGCAGTTAGAGGGTACAACTATTACACACATCTTTAAAGGAAAAGTAAGACAAATGACCACCCAAATAGGTTGATGTGCGTGAATGTCAAAGTATACCCCTCCCTATCCCTTTCTTTGAATTTTCTGCAACCTCTCTTCTAATGGTTCTTATATTGCCCAAGCTTTTTTCATACTCGACTCTTCTTTCTTCCTCAAGACTCCACAAAATTCATTTCCTTCCCCTCAATTCTTTTTCGACTACGCATCAAAATTCTAGTGTCTTTCTATCCATATACACCAAAAAAATAGCTCTAACACCGTTAAACCACGAAATTATGACCTTAAATCTGAAGAGGTGGCCATAAAAAAATTGTTTATTGAACATAGGAGAGCTTCTAGGCGACCCAAGTAAGGACTGGTTGTATCCAAACAAATAAAGAAAAAAATAAAAGAAGATATAGAATGGATTCAGTAAAGTGCAGGAAATGAAAACACGGCCACAATCTCCATCTTCCAATTGAAGTGAAAAAGAAACGTACAGCAAAAAACGTAACAATTAGATGAATAAAGTGAATACTGCATTAGAATGTTGTACCTCAAAACAGAGAGGTACAGGCCCAAAATTAGCACAGACATTAACAAAAAAAAAAAAGAGGGAAAGAGTAGAGATGAAATTCCATCCAACAAAGCCATGCAACGTCACCTGAAACTCCAGCAGGCTTATTAGGTTCCAACGTCTTAAGAGGCAGCGCCTGCGAGTTCTCGGACGACTTGGCCGCCATGTGGATTCCAACGCCAGGAAAGCTCGAGGCAATCTTCCCGGAACCACTCCGGCGATACCAAACGGAGGTGGAAGAATCCTCCGACATCTCCAGCTCTTCGTCCTCAATTCTACTGGAAGGCGACGCCATAGGGGACGTCGCAAGCAGCGTCTCGGAAGGGTTATAGCTGCCAACAGGAATCTGATCAGCGGAATTCCTCCAATTGGCAGGAGCCGGAACAGGAAGAACAGCAGAGCGAGAGGCAAGGTTATCGGAGAGATGACGGGGAGGGGGGATCATAACCGGAGACAAGGAATTGGTAGGAGGAGAGAGGGATTGTTGAGAAGGGACACAGTTGGCCGGACCGGAGAGGGAACGGTCAGGGGAATTAGGAGCGTCGAGGGTGAAGAATCCGACCTGACGAACTTTGGGGTTGACGATGCGGGAGCCTCGGCGAGCATCCATGAAGACCTAGCGATGGATCCGCGAATATTTTGGCATGGGAATTACCAGAATCCACGCAGAGAGGTAGAAAGAGAGAAAGAGAAGAAGTGGGTTCAGTGGAGAAGAGCGTAATTGGTTGCTTTATGTAGCGTCCGCCATAGGCAACTGAATCAGAAGAACAAGAACAGAGACAGGAAATGGACGCGATTACAACAATCCCTTCCTTTTCACCACACGGATGCAATCAATTTTGACGCATCCAAATTCACCCATTTCTCGCCCCAAACCCTAAATTCCCTATTCTTAAACAATAATTAAATTAAAGTTTTTTTTTTTTTAATATTAAATTCATTAACTAATTTTATAATTTTAAAGATTCACTAAATAAAGGCAAAATACACAATATATAAACTCTATTTTTTTACATCTTTTTTCAATCTAAATATATCTTAATTAATAAAAATAAAAAAAATTGTAATATTTTAACTTTATTTTATTTTTATGGTTTATTGTAAAAATTGTAATACCTTAATTAATATGATTTAATTATATACAAAAATGTACTATTTTTATTATCGAAAAAATTGTTTGTTTGTCATTTTTCTTTTTCTTTTTTTATTGAGAGTGATTATATTTATTTATTTATTTATTGGTAGCATGGGATAAGGGGGAATTGGATTAAAGGAGGAGTAACTAAATTCAATAGGAAAATAAATATTAAAAAATTAATATCTCGGACATTCCTAGATACCTTGTCTTGTTCATTCACTGTCTTCTCTTAGCATGTTGCACATTGCCCACCAACATATAATTACTTGTAAACTATAGATATTAACTTCATTTTTTTTTTAATTATCATATCTTTAAAATTTCTCGATTGATATCTATTTAAATCATGAAAGACCCAAAATGTGGCAGCCAAAAAATGGGTGTTATTGGATACAAGTAGTTGGTAATGCAAACATAATTTCCTAAAATAATAATAATAGAAAAGAAAAGAAAATGGTGAAGCAAACGCAAAACGCAGCTGTCCTAAGTAGAAGCATTTTTAATAATGCAACACATAAATATCGTACTCAACGACCGCATCGAACGTGTCGGGGTTCAAATGATGTGTTTTGGCCAACGCATAGCCTCTAGCAAACCGGAACTTCCCAGTTCCCCCGACCACCGGCATCTCCCGCTCGTGTTCCGTGATGGCGTTCCTGCCGAACACGGTGAAGGAGCTGCCATTGTATTTCCCGGTAGTGAAGGCGAAGGTCATGCCCATCATGAGTCCGATTTGGTCATGGGCCGTCCCCGCGTACATCCCTTGGGAGCGCCCCACCCGTCGGGAGCTGGGTTCGGGGCCGATGGTCAAAGGGTTGTCGAACAAGTTGAGTTGACCGAAGACGGTGGCCTTGTTGCGTGGCGGCAGAACAGCGACGCTGGAGGGCTTGGCGCCGCTGACGGTGTCGTGCCAGTAGAGATGGAAATGGAGCAGGAAGTGTCTGTCCATCTTAAGGGTCTTGGGGTCCATTTTTTTTGCGTATGAAACCTTGGGCCCGGTGGCGGTTACGCCCAGTACCGACAAAAGTAAACATAGAATGACGAGCTTGGTTGCCATGGTTGTTGCCGCGGGGTTAGAGAAAGGCTTCATTTATTTGGTGAATAAGCAGCATGGAAAACCCAAATTTATATATTAAATCATTAATTTTCCGTCCCCTTCAAATTGGCGTTTTGAATGAATCTTAGCCATTCAATACCCTCAACCTCAGGGTCATCCCACACTCCTTTCTCCTGCAAATTATCTTAAACCAAAAATACAATTTTCTTTTTATATTATATTCAAAATTGTATATTTCCTAAACATTAAAAATTAATTATTTTAAAGTTACGCATATCTTATTTAAAACATGTATTCAACGACCCTCTTTGGTCAAGAACATAACATGTATTCAACGATGCTCTTTAGTCAAGAAAATTAAGGACGATATTAACCATATCTATAACTTTTTAATCAATTTTTAAAAATACTCTCTTTTTATACAATTTTAATTATTTATAAACGAAAAAAAAAGGCCATGTTTGTCATCATACTCACTGCTAAGAAACTTAAATCTCCACCGTCCATTTTTATCCCAAATCACTGCATCAACAGTAAACTAAAGTGAGATGCATAGTAGTAGATGCACCTTAGCTTCACCGTAGAACTCCACTTTTCATTCGAAAAAGATTTTGTCTCTAATTATTTCGAATTTCATATAAATTAAAGCGCGAAAGTGTAATCCAATGCAGACAGAAGCATTCGAAGCCAACCCCACATCTCTTCAAAGGTAACAAACGGCTCGGATCTAAAGACAAAAATTTGACCGTTGCGAACTTATAAATTCAAAATTGTCCAAGGCAAAAATCTCTACCGCCACTCCATTTATTGCTCCATCCACTCCACTCTGCCGGGACGGAGATTGGAAGTAGCAAGAAAGTGGAGTGCCCCATTTACTCCCGGTTCAGTATCAACCGTCCATCGCCATTGGATCAACGGCCCAGATTCTCCAACAGTAAACATTACTCGTTCTTCATTTCCCCCCTTTCTTTCATAGTTCTACTTCTGTGAGCTCGTTCTTCGTTTTTCCCGCAGAATTTTTCACTTTCCAGGATTTTTTTTCATACCCATTTGGATTATCAGCAGTTTTTCCGAGCTGATCCAGTGAATTTCTTCTGGGTATGTTAGGGTATTGAGAAAAATGCCTGTTTCGACTCGGTCTCGGATCATGAACGAAGAACATATTGGTGCAGTTCCAGGTCAAGAAGATAAACAGCAGCTGAATCTTGCACCTAGAAGTCTTCACCATGGATTGAAAGAGAAGATGAAGGCATTAACCCTTTTGTACGAGCAGCAGAAGCTTGCTTCTGCAGCTCTTAAGAGGCCGTCACCAAAAGGGGAAGTTCTAATTGGTGAGCCAAAGCTTGAGAATGTAATGAGAGAAAATGCAATGCCTAATTCCACTGTTACCAGAACTTATGTTCTACCCCAGCTGCCGATGAGTGAAGTGAAGGAGAATGTGGTGGTTGGAGCTGATCGGATTGTCGGGTTTTCGTGCTCGAAAAAGCCGAGTTTGTCGACGAATGTCGCGAGGAAATTGTCGTTAGGGAACTCAATGCCTGTAGTGGAAAGGATGGAGAATGTGGGGTGTAAGAAATTGCAAGAAGTGGAGGAATTGGGAGAAAGCCGGATTTTGGTGTTTGTGAGGCTAAGGCCAATGGCTAAGAAGGAAAAGGAAGTGGGTTCAAGGTGTTGTGTTAAAATAGTGAATGGAAGAGATCTTTACTTGACAGAGTTTGGTAATGAGAATGATTATTTGAGACTTAAGAGGCTTCGTGGGCGTCATTTTAGCTTCGACGCTTCATTTCCGGACACCACCAATCAGCAAGAGGTCTATGCCACCACGTAAGTTCATCAGAAAAGAATTGGCGTTTACTGATTATGGGTTGTGTTGCATTTTAAAGCTTAATATCTACGTTTCAAAAGGGTACCTATTTGAATGTGCAGGACAGCAGAGGTTGTAGAAGCAGTTCTGCAGGGAAGGAATGGTTCTGTGTTCTGTTATGGTGCCACTGGGGCTGGAAAGACATACACAATGCTGGGAACGGTTGAGAGCCCTGGAGTTATGGTTTTGGCTATCAAAGACCTCTTCACCAAGATTAGGCAGAGGAGCTGCGATGGGAACCATACGGTCCACCTCTCTTACATTGAGGTTTACAATGAAACAGTCAGAGATTTGTTGTCCCCAGGAAGGCCATTAGTTCTCAGACAAGACAAGCAGGTTTGTGTCGTACGTTGTATGACTTGCACTAAATTCATTGAAATTTTAATGCTTTTGACTGTCACCCCTTGTCTGTTGGTTGTGTTACTTTTTATATGTACTGTACCAAATGGCAGGCACAACCTGGCTTCTTTGTATTTGTTTGGCTGGGAAGATGAGGAGTTTTATGACATTTTATTGATTTGTCTGGTTATAAAGTTCGAGCTCACTCCTAGCAAATATTGTCTTATTTGGGCTCTCTTTTGGACTTCTTCTCAAAGTTTTTAAAACGCGTCTGTTAAGGAGACGTTCCACACCGATGTGGGATCACAATCCACCTCCTTTCGGGACCCAACGTCCTTGCTGACACACCGCATCATGTCCACCCTTTTGAAGTTTAGCCTCCTCATTGGCATATTGCCCGGTGTCTAACTCTGATACCATTTGTAACACTGAGCCCCGAAGGAGGTGGATTGTGAGATCACACACCTTGGAGAAGGGATTAGAGAAGGGAGCGAGTGCCAGCGAGGACACTATGCCCCGAAGGGGGGTGGACTGTGAGATCCCATATCAGTTAGAGAGGGATTGGAGAAGGGAACGAGTGCCAGCGAGGACGCTGAGCCCCAAAGGGAGTGGATTGTGATATCCCACATTGGTTGGAGAGGGGAACGAAACATTTTTTACGAGAGTGTAGAAACCTCTCCCTAGCAGATACATTTTAAAATTCTTGAGAGAAACCTCAAAGAAACTTGAACTCATTTGGACAAATACATCCAACAATTTTGGAGTTCATGAGAGCTGCACTATGTTTTTTAATTGAAACATCTTGATTGACGTTCAGCTAAATGGTTATTCCAAATACTCCAGGGCATTGTTGCAGCTGGTATTACACAATATAGAGCTTACTCCACAGACGAAGTAACTTTCCAAGTCCCTTGTAGTTTTGAAAGTTTGATATTTCATGAAATGGAGAAGGGACTTCTCACACTTCTTTGGGTTCTGTCCAGGTGATGGCCTTGCTTCAACGAGGAAACCAAAACCGAACAACCGAACCAACCCGAGTTAACGAAACTTCTTCCCGTTCCCATGCTATATTGCAGGTAACTCTTGCATGGTTTGCTTAAGATTTTCCCTAAAAGCTGTTAGGAATCATGATCATCCACAATGGTATGATCTTGTCCACTTTGAGCATTAGCTCTCATGGCTTTACTTTTGGTTTTTCCATGATCATCTCCTTAGTTAGCCGACGTGGAACTCCCCACCAACAATCCTCAACAAAAGCTTCCTCACGTTTCTATGCTCCTGCAAAATGCAGGTTACAGTTGAATATCGAGCCAAAGACAGTGGAACGAACATCGTTAACCGAGTCGGGAAGCTCTCATTGATTGATCTCGCCGGGTCAGAGAGGGCACTTGCCACAGATCAAAGAACATGAAGATCTCTCGAGGGAGCAAACATAAACAGATCACTACTCGCTTTAAGTAGTTGCATCAATGCCCTTGTGGAAGGAAAGAAGCACATACCTTACAGGAATTCAAAACTCACCCAACTTCTGAAGGATTCATTAGGAGGAGCTTGTAACACTGTGATGATTGCAAATATTAGCCCAAGCGACTTATCATTTGGTGAAACCCAAAATACACTTCATTGGGCTGATCGTGCTAAAGAGATCAGAACTAAGGTTTGACCAACAAACTTCTTGAGATCAGTACACCTCATATGATATGGTTCTTTAGAATGTCCTAAACTTACTGTTTAAATCATGCATATAAATGCAGGTTGCAGAAGAGGAAATAATGAAGCCACCGGAATCTGAATTGGATCAGGCTAAACTACTGCTTGCGTTGCAGAAAGAAAATCATGAATTGCGTGTGCAGTTGGCTCACCAACAACGGAAGTTGCTTACTTTACAGTCCCAATCCCTGGCTGCAGTGGCTTCTCCAACCCCATCTTCAGCCACATCTGTTCTAACTCCTCCAATGTCTGTTCGAGAGCTTCGCCGCACGGTGAAACGATTAGAAGCAGAGCTTGAGAAGGCAAAGAAAGAGCGCATTGTGGAGTTAAAGCACAAAGATGATCATATCAATGAGCTGTTGAAGAAAAGCAAGAAAACAGCAGGGTTGGTGAGAGGAGAAGGCGTAAAGAGGGTAAGGACAAGAACTAGCTTAAGACCAAAGGAGGAGGAGGAGCCAAGCATAGGTGAAGTGAAGAGCCCCAGGTACCGTTTCAAATCACCAGCTCCAACAGCTAAGAAACGAAGCTTTTGGGACATAACAACAGCTAATAGTCCATCTGTTGCCACATTAAATGGAAGGAAGACCAGAAGTCATGTACTTGCAGAGCCTCCTCCTCCTCCTTCTGCTGCTCCCTCTATGCTTCGTCAGGTACAGTTTCTCTTTTGACATTATAAGTCAACTCGTTCAGCATCATCATATCTGTTCATCTCATTTTTCTGTTTTGAACCACACAGCCAGGTTTTTCTCGACAGAAGCCATAGCTTTTGAATTGTAGAACTCAAAGAAGACTGACAACAAGAAAGAAACAGAATGCTGACACAGCCAGGTAACACTTCAGCTTCAGCTGATGATTTTTTCATGTACACTAGTGATAGCCGGTAGATTTCCTTAGTTTTTTTTCTGTTCTTTAGAGATTGTGTTGCGTATTGCTTTATTCTTTGGTAGTCAAAATCCCTGTACTGATTAGCTGGAACATATTCCACGAGTTATCTTCCAACTGTTGGCTTTGTCTGAGGTATCATCTGGGTTTTATTAAACACCCCCAAGAATGATGAGTGTCAGTATTTTGTTTATGGCTACATGGTTTGTTTGTATGTACAAAGTGAAACAAGATTACTGTTTTTGTTTGGAACTAATCTGCAATGCTCATTGGAAAGAGAGGTCTCTCAAGGGAACCCTCTCATGTAATGTACTTAAAGATGAGAACTTAACTATGACGGCTATATATATAATATGAGAATGTAATCATTAAGAAGTATAGCAGAGAAACTGGAAATTCCTCCAAATTGCCAAAAAGTTCATGAGTTTGTTATGCCTCTGGTATGCCAAAAGTTAACAATTATACTGTGTGCCTTGCTCCCTTCAAATCAATTTTGAGATAACGGCAAAAGTCATCTATCACCTACTGTGAGATCCCACATCGGTTAGAGAGGGAAACGAAGCATTTCTTATAAGGGTGTGGAAACATCTCCCTAGTAGATGCGTTTTAAAAGCCTTGAGGGGAAAGCCCAAAAGGAAAAACCCAGAGAGGACAATATCTGCTAGCGTTGGGCTTAGGCTATTATAAATGGTATCAAAGCCAGACACCGGGCGGTGTGCTAGCAAGGGCGTTGGGCCCTCAAGGGAGGTGAATTGTGAGATCCCACATCGGTTGGAGAGGGGAACGAACCATTCATTTTAAGAGTGGAAACATCTCCCTAGCAGACACGTTTCAAAAACCTTGAAGAGGAGAAGCCTGAAAGGGAAAGCCCAAAGAAGACAATATCTGCTAACTGGTGGGCTTGGACTGTTACACCTACTCAGCACAACAGAACTCGATCCTCGTTGGCTCGAATTCAATTGCTCCTTTGCTTCATAGCAGCAACTCAACATATCAAATCTCTGTGAAACAATGACTTTTCCAAGTGCTTAAAAACACTCACCTTCTTAAACAAAACATTCTTTAATAAACTCTCTATCCATAAAACTGTCTTATAAGATGAATTAGAAGAACTTTCAGAAAATCCTGCTGTTCATTAAACTCCACTCTGACCCACCAACTCCCAAATACTCAGATTATAACTGGACTCAAGAAACGTTAACAAAAGACATCAAACTGCTCTAACAAAGCTCAATAAACAAACTTTCTGTCGTGTCGGTTTTTATCTACAAAGACGACACTTGTCTTAACTTTCTTATATTTCCAAGACAGGCAAAGACAAAGGTAGAAGGACCATGTGTCATTTTCTCATTTCAATGCTGCTTAATGAGTCAAACTGATATGGGATTAACTTATTTGACCTTGTTGAAACAAAAGATTTGTGCTTCAGAGAGAGAAATGATGTGAGCAGCCACTAAGATTTTGAAATGCTTTGAAGAATGATAAGCAATCATCAAAACTCATAATGGGTTTTCCTTTCTGATAAGAGATAATCTTTGAATTTGATTTTGACCCATCTATGAGCCAAACCCCCTCCTCTGCCAATGAATAAAGTGGCAAAAGGCAGAGTGAGGAAAGCCTTGAAACTAGGAAAAGTGGTGGCCAGAAACTCCACACTTTCTTCATATGTCCAAACTGACCATCATGGAAGGAAAAGTTTTCCAGAACTGTGGAGGAGAATTTAGTAATTCAAAAGAACCAAATTCCAAAGTGGGGAAAAGGAAAAGGAAAAGGAAAAGCAGTCAAGAAATGAAAAGGGGAAAAAAGAAAGGCGCATCTGTGCTTTTGGGAAGAGGACTGTGAAGTTTTTTTAATGTATAAATATTGCTTTTTATGACTTCCATGATTTGGGTGTTGCAAAAAGTTGTATTGGGATCATTTTAGAGGCAACTATGAGGCCAGGTAATGATTGAATGCTCTTCACTTTAAGACCAACATAATATAAAGTTGGTGATGGTAAGATGATGGGTAGTCGGCCTACACAGAAAAAGAAGAATACTGCTGGAAGGAGAAGAAAAGTGAAGTAAAATACAAGATCATTGGCTTCTTTCTAGGTACAGAGAGAGAAGGGATCCTTGTGATCATATGATGATTATAGCTATTAACAAAGAAGATGATCCAAATGTGGCTAAAACCTCAAGTTTTTAGGCCTGGTTTGCAGCCACATAGTTGAGAGTGGAACAGTGAATGGTTTCTTCTTTGGGCTTTCTTATTCAAACTTTTCCTCAAGGTATTTAAAACGTGTTTGTTAGGGAGAGGTTTTCACACTTTTATAAGGAATGTTTCGTTTAGACGTGGGACACTACTTAGTGTCCACCCTCCTTTAGGGCTCAGCGTCCTCGTTAGCAAATTGCCCGATAACTGGCTCTGATACCATTTGAAACATCTCAATCCCACTTTCGGTATTCCCCTAAAAGTTTTTAAAACACGTTTGCTAGGGAGAGGTTTCCACCCCTTATAAAAAATGCTTTATTCTCCTCTCAACCGACGTGGGATCTCACATTGAGATAAAAGAAGATGACCCTAATATAGTTTTGTGATCGTTTGTTTGAAGAAAACAAGGATCTTCTTGATTTTTGTCTCTTACATTATAACTTTAGTTTGGAAGTTCAAACACAAGATGATGGTGAATGCGTAAAGTAAAATATTTGAAAGTTGAAGAAGCAATCCTTAAAATATGAAAACAGAACAATCATAATTGAATATGACGCCAATTAATCATTTGGCTGCATCATCACATCACATGCCCAAATAACATTACATATTTTATGATATCATAAATTGGACAAGACAACACCGTCTCTGGTGGTCCTGTAGGATGGAGATTTAGCCAGTAAAGATGAGTAACATTCTGGGAAAAATCAAACGAAATTTTCTAAGGTAATTGTAATTAATCATGAATGAACAGAAACTATACTTTACACCTTCATCACCATCGTCTTGTAATGTATCCCCCCACACCCAGCAAAAAGAAAGAAACCTAAACTGGCAATGATACATAACACAGCACATGAAAAAGAGAAGAAACGACAGCACATGGAGTTGGATTTTAGCTGAGCTGCTGCTGCTGAAATGAAGGAACTTGAGTAGTGATTTAGATCAATCCTTCCATGGTTGCTCAAATTATACTCTTAGCAAATAGATACTGAGCTCAGGAGCTCCATTACTGTCTGGGTTCATCATGTAGAAAGCTTCAGAATCCCTTGAGCCTACAATTCTCTCAAACTTTGCCCTCATGTACATGATATCACCATCTGATCCACCTTCTCCTTCCCCACTGCCACCACCGCTGCCTTCGGTGCCTTCGTCCACCGGTAAGACGCCAGCGCCCATGGAAATTGGCTCCACGGCTTTCAAGATCTTCAACTCCTTAGGTCCACATTCTCTCCTTGAAGCAAAGCCACATTTCTTCCCATTGCAAAAAGTCCTCCAAACAGGCTCTTCAAGTAGTCTCCCTCCTGGTTTCTTGTTTACATCCTTCTCTTTATCACATTCCAGCGCAATTCGAACAAGTCCAGATGCCATTTCCTTCACCAGACCACTGATTGGTGTAGCAAGCTCAATCAAGAAAGCTGGATGTGAACTGGGATCTCTCTGAAATGCAAAGTGTACATGCCCCCGGCGAGAACCAAATAATGTTCCAATCACTCGAGAACGGAGACCAAGTTGTGGGTTGCGGTTGCGGCCAAGGGCAGTAAGAACCGAACGAAACCGAGAGACAGCGAGCTGTTGCAGTTTCCTCCTGGTCAATTGTGCTCGAAACTGCTGCTGTTCCTGTGGCTCCTGTAAAATGGACTTGGCGTTCTCCTGCTTTTCTTCAGTGGCAGAGTCTGATGATTTGAAGGTGGAATCGTCTTCTTCATTACTGACCTTCCTTGTCCAATGGAAGTGCCTTTTGGATGAGAACTCCATAGCCATTACTGTCTGCAGCTGAGAAACCAGGGGGAAGAAAGGAAGGCAATTCTTTAGAAGGTTGGTTAGTAGGAGAGAGAATGAGAGGAGTGTATAATAGAGAGAATGTGGTTTCTTCCCTTTTATTTGCTATGTGGGGCTCTCATCATTTAATTCTAGTTTCAAGCTTCATTGGTGTGCCTGCAAGAGAAACCTGACAAAATAAACATAGACTGATCCACCAACTGATACGGATAGACATAAGAGAGAGAGAGACTTCAAATGAAAAAGTAAGAGAGAGAGAGAGAGAGAGACGTCGAAGTAAAAGGTGAGAGAGAGGGAGAGGCAATGCCTGTGTTACTTTCTTGTGAGATTGGCCTTTGGTTGACTTGAATCACCAACATTGAAACGATGGCATCAAAAGCCACACTCAAGCATTAGTCATAGCTGTTCACAACAGACAATCTAACGAGAATCATATCCAAATCCATGTATGAGAATGACACAATGCTTGTGGGGGTCATACAACAAAAATATAATCACTCTCGAGACCCATCTTCTGTTTAATTAAGTTTTGAAGATTTAAGAAAGCCAGGTCTCATCAGTAGACCTGATGAGATAGTATATTGGGGAGGGAGGGAGGGAGAGAGAGAGATTTAAACAGTCACTACTTGTATTAACTAGACATGGATCCGCAAATATGGATATATATTACAATGCATCTTCACAGAGCCCAGAGTAGCTAGGTTAATCATTTCTTTTTTGTACATATGCACACGGCATATTTGAGGCACATATGGAAGGGTCAAGGAATCTTGCCTATGGTTGAAGAAAATAAAGATCCTAAAATTAGCTCTCTAAACTTTGCTCAGGCTCCGGTTGCTTCGGTGCAGTGTTACTGCCATTCATTCTTGCACGTGCCTCCGCAAACATTCTTTGCTGCTCAGCCAAAGCTTCTTCTTCGGTCATCTCAGCTCCATTACTCCACTTTCCACCTTTCAACGAGTCTTGCTGCGGAAATTTCTCGACAGAGAGAAGAAAAAATGTTAGTGCTTTGAGTTGTCTTGAGACACTCATGTTTGAGTTGAAACTAAATTTTATGACCATATTATGAGAATGATAGAGAAGTATCCTCTTTAAGGAACAAATTAAGATAGATACTGATTATCTCCCTCACAGAAAATTTTTATATGCTCAGCCACTTCAATCAATTCATTGAAAAGGTACTATAGCAAATATACCAAAGTATTACCATAGTTTCGTGCCTGTGTTGTTCGTATGCAGCATAAACTTCCTCAATGTATTCACTAAAACCAAGCACCTGATCATATATGTCAACATACGTGTAAGTCCAAAAGCAGACACAATGTAGAAGTATCCAAGCAAAAGCTGTAGATCAATCTTCTTCAAACACAAGAACGAAAAGTTCCAGCTAAAAAAGGACTTTCACCCTAGTGTTCTTAAATGCAATCAAACTCCACATGACATTATTAACATATATTGCGATTTATCTCCTCTCCATTTCTATGAAATAGCAGGAAACTATTCTGTCAGAGCTAGTTAATGTTTGACCCATGCTGGGGTCAACTATATAAGAAGACAGAGTAGATTCAAAATAAATTGTCCTGAAAATATTTATAGATTTAGATAGGAAGAAGATATGAGCGGTGCTTAAAGTAAACAAGATAATAAAAAAGAGGGTTAAAATGACTGCATGATCAGAATGGTACGGACAGCAAATCAATTAAATAGACAAGGAGCATATTATTGGTAAGGTATAGTTGGGTCACTGAAATTATTATTTCACTGAAGAACATTCATTTATTTTATGATTTGGTACTTAAGTTGTAGAGCTGTATCAAGCAATAATGAAATCAACTTCTACAGAATGGAAATTTTGAGTTTCACGGAGCTGGATGGTAAACAAGAAATGCTAGCGTATACTATCCCAAAACATAATAACAAGTAACACATAAAAGTCTATATTATTAAGAATATAAAGGAAACATGGATAGTCCATAGACCTCAAGAGCCTTGAGCACGTGCTCAGGTGCAATTGTTCTTTTTTCTTCTTTGCTACAAACTTCATTAGACTCGGATGATACGAGGTTTATAAACTCTGCAAGAACACCAAATAAAGAGTGCAATTGAGTAAGAAGTGATAATTGGTCAGCAATAAAAACCTGCCACCACCTTAAAGAGCTGGTTTGTGTGTGTGTGTGTGTGTGTGTGTGTGTGTGAAGACAACTACTGGCCATTATTGTTGGAAGAATAATAGAACCACAAACGGACACTAACAGTAGTACATGCGACCAACACAAAATGTTAAAATATACAAAGAAAATGGCAAATCAAGATATTCTCACCTACACAACACTCGATCAGAAGGTCTTGGGCATCTCTTGCAACCCGTACATCAGGGGGCAACATCTCTTTGATAATTTTGGTCATAGTCGCTGAAAAAGAAAAAATAAACAAAACATAAATTTAATAACCCTAAACAAACCAAAACCAAGACAAACTTCAGCAATTGCACAAGCATTTAAATGATGTCCAATTACTTTTCTTGTAAAAGGAAAGGAGCCATATTATGTCACCAAAATACATCATATGAAAGTTTAAACCAATTCATCTAAGCTAAGAAAACTGAAAGAAAAAGGACACGGAGTAGAGGAACCTCTAACATTTGGAAACATAAAAGTGGCCACAGAAGCTACTTTCTTATGAAAGAAGATAGCTTGAAAGCTGAACAAGAACAAGAAAATAAAACTGGCTCAAAAGCAGCAAAGGACAAAGAAGAAAGGGGAAGAGCCTCGAAGTAAAATGAAATTGCAGTACAAAAGACAAGCCGACAGTTTTTGGAAACTCTACCATCTTACATGGAATACTTAAAATAAGTTTTGGAAACTCGGCGATTGGTAATTCATGTAGCAGAAGTGGGATGCAAGCTAAAAACATGAATGATACCGTAGAAATCAATCTATGTTTACAGAACATGAGCACATTACAGTGAGGACAGATGAACTGAGACTCAGGCATCCAGATTTAATTATGGCATACGGCATACTAGTCACTCGCTTAACCCCACAGAAAGACTGAAAAGAAAAACATGCGAAGGGTTTTCTTCCATGAACTCTTCTTGTCAATTATCTAATTTCAATTTCCCACCAAAAATTGCCGCGCCCCGCAACCGGGTCGAGCAAAAAAATAAAAAATAAAAAATAACTAAACACCAAGCTTAATCCTTCTCTAGTGGAAACGATAATTAACGGGTACCATAATCGTTCAAGCCACAAAATATAAATTTTCCAGACATCGACTTGAATCCAAATTCGATACTTCCTTCAAGAATTACAGAGAATCCGAAAAATCAAAATTATTGTTCTATAGTTAAAGAAACACCAAATTAGTCGATGAATCATCACATCAAGATTCAATATACCATGGGGGAATTACCCCCAAAAAACACACACAGACACCAAAAACCACCGCGGAAATTGCAAGTACCTTTTGGAAGCGATGCGTCCTCTTTAGACTTTCCAACTATGTCCATCGGCTCCATATCGAACCTTCGAGACTGCAACATAAACAACAGACACACAAAAATCAGAGGAAAAACGAACCCCAACCGCGGACATAAAGAATACAAACAAATTCTGGAAAATTTAAGACAAACGATGCAGAGGAAGAGAAAGGAGATCGGAACTTACGGCGCCCCAGAAGCCAACGGAAAAAATAAATACGCAAAACCGGAAAATGACGACGGCGATCCCACCGATAGAAGAAGATCGGAATCGAAGGAGGCGATCGAGGTGGAGGGAAGGGCATTGTTGATATATGCATTTTTATCAGAGGTTATTGTGGTTCTTCAGGATAAGAGAGAAAGATCTCGCTCGCAGGAGATTAGGGCAAAGGAGGCACCAATGCGTGGGCTACGCGCCAACGATGAGCGTGGAAAAAGTGCAACGGAATGAATAAGTTAGTTCACGTGGGACCCGTGGGCTTTGCCCTTTTTAGCGCTGATTGGTTGAAGAGAGAGTAGCGTAGTCACGCGGTTGAATAGCGCGTGAGAAGGTAGGAACTTTGGATGCTTTTTTGGTAATTTAAAATTGATTTATTTTTATTTTTTTTAAAGCCAGTTGTTTTTAGGATGGGTCGTCTGTTATTTGTTCTAAATGTTTGATATATTACGCCATTGACAGAGATCTTCGTGCCTCGTGGCATTCCAGAATTGGTTCTTTGGTCAAATTACGGAATCCCCCACCCCACTTCATCTGGGCCTTCAACCACTTCATCTGGGCCTTCAACCACTTCACCTGGGCCTTCAACCACTTCATCTGGGCCTTCAACCACTTCACCTGGGCCTTCAACCACTTCATCTGGGCCTTCAACCACTTAATGGGCCTTTCTTTTTTCTTTTCTTTTCCTTTCTTTCCTTTATTTATTATTTATTATTATTTCATTAAATCTCATATATCTGCTTTATTTTTCTTATTATTTTAGTTTATTTTCTAATAATTTAATGGAATTATGGTTTTTTGGTTGATTAGTACAAAATTTATATATAATTTGTGAGATTTATTTAAATTATAGAAATCAATCTAAAAAAATCCAAGTCATGCAAATTCAATTAGTAATATAGCATTTAATATTTACCTCATCAATTTTCCTTGCATATATATATATATATATATATATATATATATTATTAATATTGTATTTAATTTGAACTTCCAATTCTTTAATTATAAGCTAAAAGATTAGATGAAGTTAAACAAAAAAGAATTAAAGTCTAGAAGCTATTAAACAAATTTATCAAATTTGAAGACTCATTAGCCAGTTTTTAAATTGATAGACCAAATAATTATATTAATTAATTTTATAATTTGACATAAAAAATGTTAATATTTAATTTACTCGTGGCTAATTTGCCTGGTTATATATTATTCATTTTATATTATCTGTTTTTTTTTTCATTTTTTCTACCTATAAAAATATAAAATATAGTATACATAAAATTTTAATTATTTAATTTCAAAAATTAAAATAGACAATTATTTCACAAGAATAATCTAGTTTAGAAACAATCTAGGTAGGTGGGTATTTGAAAGGACTCTTTTTCTCAGTTTTTTTTTTTTTTTTTTTTTCAAGA